TCCAGGCATGGGGGGGCTTGTGTGCAGGAGGGGGTACTGTGCCAGCCCCATGTGCTGGCAGTGTGTAGTACGGGATGCAGTGCAGCACGCCAGGGAAGGGGGGCGGCACAGGACTGTGCCCGCAAAGGCTGGGGGGCTTAGTGAGGGAACTGGGGTGCACAGTGGGTGCTGGCGACCTTGGCCGTCCCGGCGGGCAGCGTTGTGCTGAGTCATGGCTCCCGGGAGGGCGGGGGTGCCGCGGCTGCCAACTGCTGTCTGCTCCCGGAGATGCCGGCACTTGGAGGCCTCGCACGGGGCCTATTTATAGCGGGGAACCGGGTGGCTGCCGGCATGGCCCCACGCTGGGGGGGGGGGGGGGGNNNNGGGAAGGGGAGTGCTGGCATTTCCTCATCAGAAAGGGGTTGAGATCTGCACTTGGTGTACTGGGAGCAGGTCATGTTTACAAGGTGGGGAGAACAGGGTGCCTGCCTGCACTGTGCCACCCACCATAGTCCTAGCCAGACTCACGTGTCACCCCCACTCACACTGCAACAGGGTGCCCTGTAGCTCGGGCTGCACCCATGGCAGGCACTGGGCCAGTGAGACTGCGTGCTTATGGTCTGTGCCTGGGCTGGCATGGAACTTGCTGTGATTTCTGTGTGCTGAGGCTGGTCTCCTGTGTTGTCCCTGAAGTGGAAGGAGGTCCCTGCAGCACAGTGATGCCTTGGGATCCCCTGACATCTGGAGATGGACAGTGGCTTGGGGACGTGGTGCTGGCTCCAACTGCCTGGCGTGATGGCTTGCAAGGCACTGGGACAGGCCAGTGTCTGTGGGACACTGTGCCCTGTGGTGAGGGGATGTGGCACCCACTCGTCCCCAAGCTGTGCGTGGCTGGGGCAGGCACTGCACTGAATGAATCTCTCCTCTCCCTTTGGATAAGGGAGTGTTGGGCTCAGGGAAAGGGGGTGGCTCGAGTGCTGTGTCCCCACCCTGCCAACAGCTTCCCCTCTCTACCCTGACCCTTGGACAGATCCGGATACGAGACCCCAACCAAGGTGGCAAAGACATTACTGAAGAAATTATGTCTGGAGCAAGGACCTCATCCACCCCCACCCCTCCACAGGTAAGGGTACCCTCCAACTCCCTAACTGGGGCAGCAGGAAGTGCATGCAGCCTATTCAACTCCCTCTTTGCCCCCACCAGGCTGGAAGCGGTTTAGAGCCCCAGGCCAACGGAGAGACCCCCCATGTAGCAGTTATTGTCCGGCCCGGTAAGTGCCTGTGCCAGGGCTGGGTGTGCCAGCTGGCATGGCTGCTGCCAGACTCCCTAGAGTTGGCACTGTGGGGTGTGACATGCCAGCCCTGCTCTTCCTTGGTTCTTCTGGGACTTGTGGGGTCAAATGCTTTCCCTGCATACCTGAGAGCTCTGTCCCCATGTTGGGTCCAGGAGAGTTTATGGGGGATGTGTGCTCATCTCAGCAGCCCCCTGGGCACTGGAGGACACCTGTTGTTCCCATCACCCATTTGTGATATGGCTTGGCACATCTGTCCCTACTCCTGTAGATAGAGTGATCTGGGGAGGAGTGCAGGGTGAGCAGAGGATCAGAGCCCCCCATTAATGCCACCCACCTTGCAGATGACCGCCCGAAGCCCGCGCTGGTGGTGAGCAAGCCCGTCTCCCTGGAGCCCAGCAAGTCGGCCTCCCCGTCGCCTCCCCCTCCCCTCATTCCCGAGGTGGAGCCCGTGGTGCTCTCGGCTGTGACGCTGGTGCCAATGGAGCCTCCCGTGGACACGGACACAAAAGCGGAGCAGGGCGAGGCGCCACCTGACCCGCAAAAGACGTTTAGCGCCATCACTACAGTGCCAGGGCCTGCGGAGCTGCCCCTTGTGCCCGCGCCCAACATGGACACGGTGGCTGTGGAGGAGGAGGAGGAGGAGGAAGAGGAGGTTGTTATTCCCCTCCCGGAGCCCACCCCGCAGGAGCCTGTGCCCCCCGAGGTGCCGACGGTGCCCGTTGTTCCCCCCATGCCAGCCGTGCCCATGGTGCCGGCCGCGCCGTCGCCGCCGCCCATTGTACCACAGGCCCCCGAAGCACCCGCCAAACCCGTGTCCCCCAGCCCCCCGCCACCCCGGGAAGAGCCCTGCCCTGAACCCACTGCTGAGGCCAACGGGGTCTTGGAGGAGGTGCCTGAGCCGGTCCCTGAGGCACCTGTGTGCCAGCCGGTGCCAGTCCCTGAGCCAGTGCCCACGCCCACCCTGGACTCCCCCATCGCCCAGCCCGAAGAGCTGCCCCTGCCCAATGGGGTGGAGGGCACTGGCAAAGTGGAGCCGAGTGAGGAGCAGCCTGAGTCGGATGTCAGCCCCATCTCAGAACCTGAGGAGCCGGCCCAGCCCAGCACCCCTGCCTCCCCCCAGGCAGAGGAAGAGGAGGAAGAGAGTGAAGGCCCTGGTGAGGCCCAGGAGCGAAGCTTGAGTCCGGCTCCTGCCCCTTCGCAGACCTCGGAGGCGACTGCTCGAGGTTGGCAATGCTGGGCTGGGGTGTGTGGGGCTGTGGGGTGCCCCAGTGAGGTGTTGGGTGATGGGGGCCATCACATGGGTGTGGTGCTAGGCATGGGGTATGTGGAGAGCGTTGGAAAACGGGATGGGGTTGGGGACACAAGACATGCAGGTATGGGGTGCTGATGGGGACAGAGTGCCTGTGGATGGTGACATGGGGAGTACATCCACGTGGAGGAGTATGGAGTGGGTATAGAGGGTGTGTGGGGTGCCATGGGGAATGGAAGTGTGTTTTATGGGATGACTTATGCAGAACTGTTAGGGTAGGTGTATCAAGGTTGTATCTGAGGACTATCCCCAGCCATTTGAGGACACAGGGAGGTGGAGGATTGGCAGGGAAGATGTGGGGCACCCTGTGTAGGGTTATGTAAGTACACAGGAGTGCCTGGGGAAAGTGGGGTGCTCTGGAGGTGTGTTGGGGTGAAGATATTTCTTTAAGCACCCTGCACAGGAATGTTGGGGTTTCAGCGGGGTGATGGGAAAGATGGGTGCAGGGATACAGCAAGGGCTATAAGAGGGCAACCTGAGAGCAAGTGTGCTTCTGGGGAACACATCTATATGGGCTGGTGTACTGGGGTGCCAGGGAGAGGAGTGTATATGGGGGCAGACGTGGTGTGTATGGGAGTGTCCACATAAGAGCTGCTCTGTGGTGGGGTGTGGGTATCTGTAGGGATCCCTGAGGAGGACGGAGAGCACTGCACTAGGGAAGTGGTGTGGATGGGAGGCTTTGAAGAAGGACAGGGTGAATTGGGATGCAGCATCTGGATGGGGAGAGGTGTGAGATGTGTCTGTACAGGTATATTCTGGGATGCCTGCTTGGGGAGTGGGCTGCCTTGGTGGGATGTGTGTAGGATTTGCAAGGCTGCAGATACCGAGGTGGGTGCACTGTGTTTGGGGGTGGAGGCTGTGCTGGGGTGGCAGGGCCACATCCCTGTGGCCCCATCATGAAGCTCACCTGGTGTTACTGGGGCTTTGATGGTGACCCAGTAACTGGTGTCAGGGTACCTGGGGGATTGGGAGGGTTCCTGTCTTTCACTTCCCCATTTTTCCTCCCAGTCGCCATGTCGGTGCCAAAGAAGAAGCGAAGGATGAAGGAGCTGAACAAGAAGGAGGCAGTAGGTGATCTGCTGGATGCCTTTAAAGAGGTGAGTATCCCAGGGGTGTCCAGGGATCACCCTGTGTCCCATGTCCTCCTGTGATGAACTCTACTTTGTGCCATCGTGTCTGGGCCACTGATGCTCTGTGATGGTAATGAGGATCTGAGGCGGGGCCGACACCAAGGAGTGGGGTGGAGAGGGCAGGACCAGACTCCTGAGGTGACAGCTGTCCCTGTCCCTCTCCCTCCCAATGCAGTCTCAGACTGGTGACAGTGCCTCGGAGGCGGAGAACAAGCCCCCCACGTCCACCCCTGCCAGTGAAGCAGAGGATGCGGCTCCTGCCCGTCCACAGGAAGAGTCAGAGGAGACGTGGGAGGAGAAGGAGGACAAGCTGGCCCCGGAGAAGGGCAAGGCTGCCGGCCAGAAGTACGGCTACAAGGAAGGTGAGTTGTGCCTTGGCACAGGCCTCTGCTGGCAGCCACCACCTCTGGACCCAGTGGTGGGGAGGGTGGGGGTGGCATGTCCTAAACCTACCATTTTCCTCCCGTCTTGTCCTCAAGCTTGACATGGAGTGGGGGCCAGAGGCCCCAGCATGAGGGTCCTGGCAGGAGGCAGGGAGCTGGTAGCATCAGGCTTTCTAAGCAAGCAGTGTCATTTTCATGGTGTACCAGGCTGGAGCAGCTCTGTGGTTGTCTACATCCCACCTCGCTGGTCCCTGTGTGGGCCTGGAGTTGCCACAGCTCAGGGTGGAGGAGGATATGGGACAGACCACATCAGGGTGTCCCTCTTGTTCCCCCACTGCAGAGCAATGGAAGCCACTGAACCCTGAGGAGAAGAAGCGATATGACCGAGAGTTCCTGCTGGGCTTCCAGTTCATCTTTGCCAGCATGCAGAAACCTGAGGGGCTGCCCCAGATCACAGATGTGGTGCTGGACAAGGTCGGTGCGGCCCTGGAAATTGGGGAAGCATGGGTGGTGGAGAGGTAGGGGTCTGGCTCCTCTTTGAGCCTTGTCAAGGCAGAGCAGGGACTTACCTGCTGTGCTCAGGGTCCTGTTGTAGCACATGCAATCACCCTTGAGCCTGGGTTTTGTGGGTGGAGGCACCTCTGGGGCCTTCTTTCCAGTTCCTTGTCCCGGCACTGAGGCTGGGGGATGGATCCGTCCCGCTCCTCTGCCCCCGGGCATCCTCAGCCGTGTGTACCTTCGCAGGCCAACAAGACCCCACTACGGGCACTCGACCCCATCCGCCTCAGTGGCATGAACTGCAGCCCTGACTTCACCCCCTCCTTCGCCAACCTTGGCCGGCCTGTCATGGGCAACCGGGGCCTGGTGAGTATCTCATCACTTCACTCATACTGTCCTGCTCCACCTCTCTGTGATGATCAAGCTTTCGAGCCGCTGTGTCTGGGCCACTGATGTCCGTGATGGAGCTGAGGATCTGAGCGGGCGGATTGGGGACTCGCTAAGACCCGGCCCAGCTGGTCCCAGAGCAAAGAGCTGAGTTTCTTCTCCCTGTGTCAGCCCTCAGGGTTGGGTCCTCGCCGCTCCCAGCAGAGCCAGAGGAAGGAACCCCGCAAAATCATTGCTACTGTGTCTCTCAATGAGGATGTCAAGCTGAACAAGGCTGAAAAGGCCTGGAAACCCAGCAGCAAACGTGCTTCCGAGGAGGAGGATCCTGAGAACATCAAGACGCAGGTGGGAGCTGGGGCGGGTGGGCAGTGAGAGGGCAGGGAAGGAACGTGCCTGGCTCTTGCTGATCCTGTTGTCCTTGCAGGAACTGCTCCGTCGTGTCCGCAGCATCCTCAACAAGCTGACACCCCAGATGTTCCAGCAGCTGATGAAGCAGGTGATGGAGTTGTCCATCGACACGGAGGAGCGGCTCAAGGGTGTCATCGACCTCGTCTTCGAGAAAGCCATCTCGGAGCCAAACTTCTCTGTTGCCTATGCTAATATGTGCCGTTGCCTTATGGGGGTGAGTAGAAGCTGGGGGGTCTCCTGCTGAACAGGCAGAAGTTTGTTCATGTTTCTAAGCCTCAACTGAGCTCAGCAGTTTGCAGGTCCTTCTGTGTGGGATGGGGAAATGGATGTGTGGATGGAGGACCAAGTTCAGAGTCTTAGCAGAGCATCACAAAGTTGTAGGGTGGCTTTTCCCTTGTTTGAGCAGTACCAACTTAGCTTGTCAACTTTTGGGGGAGACAGAAGTCATGCTCCTTTTCTGGGTCGTACTTCTCCCTGCAGCTTAAAGTGCCCACAACAGACAAGCCCACAGTGACTGTGAACTTCCGCAAGCTGCTGCTCAACCGCTGCCAGAAGGAGTTTGAGAAGGACAAGGACGACGACGAGATCTTTGAGAAGCGGCAGAAAGAGATGGACGATGCCAGTGCTGTGAGTTGGGGTGGGAGGCTGCAGCTGAGGGCTGATGTGGGTGTCCTTGGGGTGGCTCTGGGCACTGAACTGTCCTGCTGTGCTTTTCCTGCAGCCCGAGGAGAAGGCCCGCATGAAGGATGAGCTGGAGGAGGCGCGGGACAAGGCCCGACGACGATCCCTGGGCAACATCAAGTTCATTGGAGAGCTCTTCAAACTGAAGATGTTGACGGAGGCCATCATGCATGACTGCGTAGTGAAGCTGCTCAAAAACCATGATGAGGAGTCTCTAGAGTGCCTTTGCCGCCTGCTTACGACCATTGGCAAGGACTTGGACTTTGAGAAAGCCAAGGTAGTCCCTGTCCTGCCCTGCCCTCCCTTGCCTTGCCCTGCCCTTGCCTTTGGGAAGGATATGACCCTGGCTCTGTCCCTCTATAGCCCAGGATGGACCAGTACTTCAATCAGATGGAGAAGATCATCAAAGAGAAAAAGACATCATCCCGAATCCGTTTCATGCTGCAGGATGTCATTGACCTCAGACGGGTAAGGTGCATGAAATGCTGTTGCCTGGGGACTGTCCTCTGTCCCCTGCTTGGTCCCATCGAGCTGCTGGTCTGTGTCCTCTGGGTGCCAGCAATCCTTGTGTCCCTGGGAGGGGGAGAGGGGTATGTAAGTTGTGGCCAGCCCCAGAGACACCATGCTAGCCCCAGCCCTTGGTTATCATGGTAGTGGTAGTGGGCACACAGTAATCGGCGGCTGTTTAATGCAGGGGGGCTCCAGAAACTGAGCCCTTTTGTGCCAAAAGCTGCCACAACACATGGAGAATGGTGATGGCTGAGGCAGGAACCAACCTGAGACTTTGAGGGTGGGAAGGGGGGATGTCACTGCCTCCCTTCACCAGCCACCTCAGTGCCCTCTTCCCTTCTTCCCTGCCATCTGCAGAATAGCTGGGTGCCTCGGCGAGGAGACCAGGGCCCCAAAACCATCGATCAGATCCACAAAGAAGCAGAGATGGAGGAGCATCGGGAACACATCAAAGTGCAGCAGCTCATGTCGAAGGACAAGAGGAGAGGACCCCCTGGGCCATCCTCTGGTGGTGAGTGCCTGGGCTCAGGGACACCTGAGGCTACCAGGGGTGAGTTTCATTCACTGGGCACTGCTGGATACAGGGCTGCACCTTACAACTGTTCCTCTTGTGCCCAGGGCGCAGTAGCTTGGTCGCAGACGATGGCTGGAACACGGTGCCCATCAGCAAGGGCAACCGGCCCATCGACACCAGCCGACTAACAAAGATCACCAAGGTGAGGCGGGAGGTGTGGTGTGGCAGCCGAGGCGACTGCCTGGCCTGGATGCTGCCTTGGTGTGGGGTTCAGGGCTGACTCTCTCTCTCCACCTGCAGCCTGGATCCATTGACTCCAACAACCAGCTCTTTGCGCCGGGTGGGCGGCTGAGCTGGGGCAAAGGCAGCAGCGGAGGGTCTGGCGCAAAGCCCGCAGATTCAGGTAGACAGCGTGGGACTGGCTGGGTGCTGTGGGATGAGGTGGGAGAGGGCATCCTTCCCCTGGCGGTTCCTGTACCGGGGAGGTGCTAAACTCTGAGACTTCCCTCTTTTCACACCCAGCATCTGATTCAGGGCGACCAGCCACGAGCACCTTGAACCGCTTCTCAGCGCTCCAGCAGTCGATGCCTGCCGAGAGCTCGGAGTCCCGCCGTGTGGTGCAGAGGTGAGGGGCCAGCCCTGCCTTGGTGGGTGGGCATGTGGGGAAGAACCCTGAAATTGAGCTGTTGTCAGTCAGTATGTAGGCAAGTTGTGGTGTCTTGACTGGCATAATCCCCTGTGGCAAGATGGGGCCTTGAGGGGGCTTGGAGTCAGTGGTGAGTCCTTGTGGCAAGGAAGGTTGACCCCACCTTGGGTTTCCTCCCTATGGTTTGGCACTTGGGAGACCACATCTGGGTGCTGGGTCTGCCTGGGAGTCCTGAGACCAGATGAACATTGATGGACTGGAGGGAATCCTGTGGAGGCTGGTGTATGAGGTCCCCAAGGAGAGCTGGAGTTTGGATTTGTTCAGGAGAAGAGGAAAATGGGGTTTTCTCTGCAGTTTGCAGCAGGAGGAAGGTGTGGGCAGGACGAGGCCAGGCAGTGCTCAGCCATGGCAGTGGACAGAGTGAAAGGCAAAGGGCGTGAGTTGGAACGGGAGAAAGGGAAAAGTATTTTCCCCCAAGAAATGATCAAGTGCTAAAAGAGGTGGGGACTGGAGTGGGACAGCCTTACTTGCAGAGCTCTGCAGTATTGGGTCAGGGAGGGTGGTGACAGGCTCTTCACATTGTGTGCATCTTTCTCCCACTCAGGAGCAGCTCCAGCCGAGACAGGTCAGAGAAGGCTGGGGAGAGAGGGGACCGGGAGTCACGTTCGGAGAAGGGCAGCGACCGTCTGGAGCGTCCCGACCGGGGAGAGCGGGCAGACAGGAACAGGTCTACCATCACCAAGAGGAGCTTCAGCAAAGAGACGGAGGACAGAAGCCGAGAACGGGAGAAGCAGGGCGGCCCTGAGGCTGTGCGCAAGGCTGCCAGCATGATGGAGGAACGGGACCGAAGCCGAGAGACCAGTGAGCTGGGGAGCAGCAATATCCCAGGGTCTGGCTGTGGCCTGTGGCTCTGCCTGTCCCAGGAGGTGCCTGATCCTTGATCTCTCCTTGCAGTTAAGCAAGAGCCAGCACCTCCTGCAACATCCACCAAGCCTGTGCTGTCGGAAGAGGAGCTGGAGAAGAAATCCAAGGCGATCATAGAGGAATACCTGCACATTAATGACATGAAGGTGAGAGGATGGGGTGGCCAAACACAACACCATCTGGTCCCCCTGACATGCAATACGCTTCCCTGCATGGCATGGGCAGGGTGCTGGTGGTGGCTGGATGCAGAAGAGGGGAGTCAGAGCTGGCTGTGGGGCAGTACTGACCCACCTTTTCCCTGCAGGAGGCTCTGCAGTGTGTGCAGGAGCTGGGCAGCCCCTCCTCGCTCTACATCTTTGTGCAGAATGGCATTGAGTCGACACTGGAGAGGAGCACCATCTCCCGTGAGCACATGGGGGCCTTGCTGTGCCAGCTGGTGAAGGCAGGCACGCTCTCCAAGGAGCAGTACTACAAAGGGTGAGGGGCCATGGCAGCCTGGTCCTAGGCTAGTATTTGCCTGGCTTTGAAATTGGCCCTGACTTGAGCAGGGCTCAGCACTGAGAACTCCCGAGGTCCCGCCTAGCCGAGGGCACAGGGACTGCTGGATCCAACCAGCTCCCTCTGCTCTGCAGGCTGCGGGAGATCTTGGAGATTGCAGAGGACATGGAGATTGACATCCCGCACATCTGGCTGTACCTGGCTGAGCTCATCACCCCCATCCTGCAAGAGGAAGGCATCCCTATGGAGGAGTTGTTCAGGTGAGGGCTGTGTTCCTCAACAGGGCTGGCATGGCAGGGCTCCTCGTGACAGGTAGCTCAGCCAGGTTTCTTGTGCCCCACAGGGAAATCACAAAGCCCCTGGTGCCCATTGGGAAGGCCACCACGCTGCTTGTTGAGGTGCTGGGCTTGTTGTGCAAGGGCATGGTAAGTTCACGGGGCTCACGTGACTGCTGGTTGCTGCCTTGGGGACTGGCAACCTACCTGGGGGCCAGGTGACCATATAGGGATTGAGCCCCCCTGCCACCAGAGGGGATGATGCGTGGCATCCCTTGCAATGTCTGGGTCATGGGGGTGGTGTGGCCAAGCTGCAGTATCTTTCTTCCTGGAGTTGGGAAGGCATGGTGTGCTGATGCTGACTGTCTGTCCCACAGAGCCAGAAGACAGCAGGCAAGCTGTGGCGGGATGGGGGCCTGAGCTGGAAGGAATTCCTGCCTGAGGACCAGGATGTCAACAAATTTGTCACAGAGCAGGTGGGAGCTTGGTGGTGGTGAGGGACGGAGGTGGGCTGTCAGGGGACCCTGAAGGACCCTTCTGGGATGGTGCTCTCCTGTGCTGCCTTTAACAGCTCTCTCTGCCTGCTTCCCTAGAAATTGGAGTACACGATGGGGGACAGCTCGGACACACCGAGCCGCAA